GGAGTAAAAGGAAGGCCCAGGGTGGAATAGGACCTCTACTAAATGGGCATAAGCAATTGGTGATGGACAGGGGGGACAAGGCTGAACTCCTCAATGAATTCTTTGCCTCAGTGTTCCTAAGCGAGGGGCAAGACAAGTCTCTCACTGGGATTGTAGAGAGGCAGCAGCAGTGCGCCAGACTACCAAGTGTAAACCCTGAGATGGTGCAGAGGCATTTGGAGGAACTGGATGCGTTTAAGTCGGCAGGCCCGGATGAGCTCCATCCGAGGGTACTGAAGGCACTGGATGACGTCATTGCCCAGCCACTGGCGGGAATATTTGAGCACTCGTCGTGCATGGACCAGGTCCCAGAGGACTGGAAAAGAGCCAATGTGGTCCCCATTTTCAAGAAGGGGAGGAAGGAGGGCCCAGGCAACAAATTGGTAGTTATCAGAGGGATGAGATAATGTCTCATGTCACTGGTAGAACAGACAGTGTCTATAGTTGTCTCATTTTATTCAGCTGTCAGTCCCAACCTTTCTTTACTCACTTACTTATGTTCTAGCTGCTGATATTACTGGACAGATTAACTGTTAAAATCATATTGGTGTATGTGTAGGTTTCAATAAGAAGAATATACAATGAAGGCTAACATTGACCTGGAAGGGTGTGGGCAGTGGGGTCCCGCAGGACTCGGTCCTTGGACCAATACTCTTCAATGTCTTCATCAGCGACTTGGACGAGGCAGTGAAGTGTACTCTGTCCAAGTTTGCAGATGACACAAAACTGTGGGGAGAAGTGGACACGCTGGAGGGCAGGGAACAAGTACAAGCAGACCTGGACAGGTTGGACATATGGGCACAAAACAACAGAATGCAATTCAACAAGGAGAAATGCAAAGTGCTGCACCTAGGGAGGAAAAATGACACCTAGGCAGTAGGTGTCCAGCACACCTACTGCCTAGGAAATGACCTGCTTGGTGGAACAGAAGCGGAAAGGGATCTTGGAGTCCTAGTGGACTCCAAGATGAACATGAGTCGTCAGTGTGACGAAGTCATCAGAAAAGCTAATGGCACTTTATCGTGCATCAGCAGATGCATGACAAATAGATCCAAGGAGGTGATACTTCCCCTCTATCGGGCGCTGGTCAGACCGCATTTGGAATATTGCGTGCAATTTTGGGCGATGCACTTCAAGAGGGATGTGGATAATCTGGAGAGGGTCCAGAGAAGGGCCACTCTTATGGTTAAGGGCTTGCAGGCCAAGCCCTACAAGGAGAGACTAGGGCACCTGGACCTCTTCAGCCTCCGCAAGAGAAGGTTGAGAGGCAACCTTGTGGCTTCCTATAAGTTCATCATGGGGGCACAGAAGGGAATTGGTGAGGGAATTTGAGATGCTCTGCACTTTTCAATGATTATAACCATTCTTCTGTTTATGTAGTTAAATTCAGCTGCTAAAATGCCAGTGTCTTCTTAATTAGTTTGTGGCTTTTAAGTATTATGGCAGACAGAACATAAATGTTTGTCACCCCTAGTCTTATTAGTGTGCTGATACAGCAGTAGTCTATCTTTTAAAAAATTGTTCAGAGCAATCCATGATTTTTTTTGTTATAACAGATTTAACTTAGAAAATTGCAAAAGACTCTTGGGTCTTTAAAAAACACCCTTTGTATTATTCAGAAAAGGATTTCTTTGACAAAAACACTTCTAAGTAATTGTAAAAATAGAAACACTTTTAAGCAACATAACACTTTTAACATAAACCAAATGATTCACAGGATTGCTGCAGAAGACAGAAGGAGCAACTGTGTGAAAAATTTGATTATCTATATTCAGTACTGGAAGAAAGAAAAAATGAAATGACACAAATAATCACTAGAAGCCAAGAGGAGAAGTTGGAACATGTCCGTTCCTTAATGAAAAAGTATGCAGACCACTTGGAGGCTGTGTCAAAGCTTGTTGAATCAGGAATCCAGTTCATGGAAGAACCAGAAATGGCTGTGTTTTTGCAGGTATATTGTAGAGAATTTGATAGTGAAATAGGACAGAAGTGGGGGCAATTAATCAAAGATATGTTTGAAAGTTCTGAAGTACTTTTCCTATCAGACATATGTGAATGACCAGACTTCATGTGGGTAACAACCAAGCAAAAATATAGGCACAAGACTGTGTTTTTCCTGTTCACACCAAAAATGCTGTGGATTATAAATTTTCAGAAGCAGGAAGCAGAAACAATATTTTCATACATATACTCATATCAGAAATGTACAACTGGCAGCCCATGGGTAACATGCCGTGGATTTAGCCATTTCTATCTGTGAGGAATTAGAACATTTTATTCTCCATTTTGTATATGCATTTTGACAACAGCAGTCCTTCATACATTTAGCCAGTAGTCCATTGTCTAGGGCACTTGCCTAGGGAGAAGAAGACTCAGTTTTGAGTCCCAGCCCCCCTCCCCAACCCCCCACCTCCCCCCACCAAAGGGGATTTGAAGCTGAAGATTGCTTTAAACTAGACATAAGGAAAAACTTCTTTACAAGTTGAGTACCAAGGGTTTGAAACAGGCTCCCCGCAGAGGTGGTACAGTCACCCACCCTGGCGATCTTCAAAAAGCATCTTGATGCCCATCTTCCTGGGGTTATCTGACCCTAGCAGTCTTTCCTGCCCAAGTGCAGAGGGGCTGGACCCAATGATCTGTAAGGTCCCTTCCAGCCCCTAACAACTATAATGGGTACTTAGTGCAATGGATTCTGCCCTGGCAAGGAGGGGTCCTGGCTTTGTGCCTTGTTCCCTGCCCCTCTGGAGCAGAAGCTGTCCCAGTGCTATCTATCCACTTGCTTCCTCTGTTTAGGAGGTACAACATATAAAGCAATCATATTCTGATACAGATAGATGAAGAATCCAGGTTGTGTGCAAGTGCCAAAAATTACACACCTACATAAGGGCCACTTTAGCATATAAAAATGAAATAAGATTTATCTGAAAATGTCTCAGCAAATATCACATAGGAAGTCAATTGCTGAATCAAGAATTAAACCCAGATTATTATTCAGTTTTCAAAAAAACGAAGTCAGTTTGAGATTTCAGATTTATTTTTTCCCTTTCCCCCTTTTGGGACCCAAAAAAAACCTATTGTTCAAATATTTTTTAAAAATTCCAAAGTAGGTCTCGTCTCATTCATAGGGCTCATGGTTGTCATTAATAATGAATGCTCAGGTTAGTTGGTTTAGAAGCAGTTGTCTAGAAGAAGAATTATGCCCTGTTGTATAAAATGTCTTTGACATAAAGGAACCATTTAAGAAGTCAGTCATTTCACTTTTGTTTTCACAGAATGCCAAAACGTTGCTTCAAAAGTAAGTACTTTCTTTTGGAGAGATAGTTTATGTTGTTCATCTTTTATTATAAATTACATATGTATTTGCAAAACAAGGTGAATGACACACATCTCTGTTTTAGAATTACTGAAGCATCAAAAGCATTTCAAATGGAAAAAATAGTGCCTGACTATGAAAATATGAGCCATTTCACTGTAAACCTAACTAGAGAAGAAAAGATTATAAGAGAAATCGACTTTTACAGAGGTATGTTATTTATTTGACCTAAATTACTTTCTTAAATTGCAGCTATGTGTAGTTTACATGAAGATACGGTGTGAGGAAAAGTCAAATAAGATATGCGTAGCTATCCACAAATATAACTAGACAATTTTACACAAATTATAATCAAAAGCAAAACCTATCACAGTTCAGAAAGATATTACATGTTGTTTTCCTTTACTATAGTCTCAGTATTTTCGTAAGAAATGGATCCTTCAGCCCTTATTGATTCTATATGTAAAAGTGTTGCAGTAAACAATACTGCAGATCCACTAAAACAGAAAGTACAAGATTAGTTTGCATTCAGTTGTAGTAAGCAATTGCCCAAGTTCTATATTTAGCTAAACTCTAAAAGTATAAAAGCTACAGAGGAAATCATTACAGTACAATGATACTAATAATAAAAGTATGAAAATATAAATAATATTTTTCTTTGTAAATATATCAGAAAAATGTCAGAAAATGTAAAATATATTCTACGTTCTGTATTCTATATATTTATGGGAACAAGCAAAGGTTTATCATTCTTTCTTGTTTAAGGGTCTTGGTTTGGTGTTATTTATATGCCCAAAATATAGCACGTACAAAATAACATGAAGTTGCTAGTCTATGTTCAGTAAAGTAGTGTGTAACCTAGATACCTGTTTTGCTTTATCTTACAAAATAATAAGAATGCTATGGGCAAAAACAGTTGAAATAAACAGATTTCTCACCTAAAGCTTTGAACATTTTAAAACATAGAGGGCCACAGTGCTGGCCATTTATAATTTATCTGCTAAATAATCAAGCTCTACTAAGGCATTTATATTCATATAGTCATAATAACATTGCTTTGATATATACCAACATACAGTTTCAACATAAGTAGTTCAAGCCTTCATTTTGGGTGAACTTAAACTCTTTCTGAAATCAATGGAGAGAGTTTGCAAAATCAGGTTAAGATAATCTCTTATATCAGTATTATTTAGCTTAAGAACATTTACATATTGTGAGGCAACACCTGGTTTTCAATTCTGTTTTCACTTGTTATAGGACACAACATGCCCTTTTCACCGACAAAACTCTCACGACCTTTATATTATCAGTTTGAAGCTACATTTAATGCATCCATTCTGGTTATTTCTCTGAAGTGCAGTGATAGTTCTGAGTAAGGTCTGATTTTTTTTTAGGGGAACAGGGATGTATAATATGATTATGCAGAACAAAATGCCTAGTTAGATGTCTTCCTTTCAAAATATAGACAAGGGTCTTTGGGTAAATCTGATATCTTTTATTAAATCAACTCAAATGATTGGAAAAATTCTTTTTTGCAAGCTTTTGGATACAAATACCCTTTGACAGGCTAAGGAAGTGCCTACAGTTGGTCTGTGCTCTTTCTGGGGAGTCAGATGTTAGGCAGGTTATAATGTGTCCACAAGTTTTTGTATACAGTAGGCTGATGAAGTGAAGTTCATAGGCACATCTACAAAAGGTGTTCTGTAAATTCCCTTTGAGGATTAGAAATGAGAGATTGGAGGGAGAGAGATTTTCTTGTGAAAGATATGCCCCCACAGGGAATTGGGTATTCTTGTCTTTGATAGATTTTTGGTGTGCATTCATTCTGGTATACAATTGCTGTTTGGTTTCTCTGACACATTTTCCGTCAGGGTATTTGGTGCATTGAATGAAATATATAACATTTCTGGAGGTGCAGCTGTAAGATCCAGGAATGTTGATGGTTCTGTTGTGGGGTGTAGTAATTGTGGGGGTGGTGGAGATAAGTTGGCAGGTTTTACATTTCTTGTCACGGCATGGTCTGAATCCATTCGGTGTATTTTGGGCCATAGGAAGTTTGTTTTTGGTGATGAGGTTGGCAAGGTTTGGTGCTTGTTTAAAGGCTAGGATGGGTAGTTCTGGGAAGATCTCTTTAAGAATTAGGTCATCTTCTAGTATGGGTTGCAGTTGTTTGAGGATTTTCCATATAGGTTCCAGGAAGGGATGATATGACATAACCAGTGGTGTGCAATTCTTGGGGGGGTTTCCTTCTGTACTGCAGCAATTCTTCACATGGTGTCCAGGTAGCTCTTTCAAAAGTGTGATCTATCTCTCTGGACAAGTGTCCTTGTTGAGTGAAAGCCCTTTTGAGATTTGTGAAGTGACAACTACAGGTGTTCTTAGTGTAAATTTGGTGGTATCAGAGGGCTTGACTGTATATTACTGCTTTATTGGTGTGTTTAGGGTGATTGCTGGTTCTGTGCAGATATGTATATTGGTCCATGGGTTTCTTGTATATGGTGGTCTGTATTTTACCCTTCTGGATAGTGATCCTCATGTATAAAAATAAAATGTTAGTGCTGGAGTATTCAAGAGATAATCAGATGAAGGGGTGATGATTGTTGCATTTCTGATGGAAAACTATCATAGATTGCAGGTTTTCAGTCCAAATGATGAAGATGTCATTGATATATCTTAAGTATAGCAAGGGTTTGATGGTGCAGTCCTTGAGGAATTCTTCTTCCAGGTGGCTCATAAAAAGTCTGGCATACTGTGGGGCCATTATGGTGCTCATAGCTGTGCCCATCGTCTGTAGGAAGTGTTGGTTATTGAAAGTGAAATTGTTGTGTGTGAGGATGAAGTTCAGTAATATTTTTGGGTCTGTACTCTGAGTTGTAATCTTGCTCTTGTAGATATGTAAGGTAGGCGGTGTGGGATGTTAATGGTAATGTCCATGGTGGCTAGGAGGGTGTTGCTGGAAAGGTGGTCTTTTTTTTAAAGTTTTCATAGTAAGTCTGTTGTGTCTTGGACAAAGCTCACTTTTTAGGTGACAAGAGGTTTTAGGATTGATTCAATGAAACCTGATATTTCCTCAGTTAGGGTTCCATGGTTGGATATGATAGGTCTGCCAGGGTTTCCCTTGTTTGTGGATTTTAGGGAGCATGTAAAAAGTCCCTGGGCTAGGTAGTGAAGGGATCAAGGTCTGTAGTGTTTCTTGTAGTTCTGAAGGAAATGATTCAATGGTAGTTTTGAGTTTCAAGGTGAAAAGGGGAGTAAGATCTTCCTCTGGTTTTTTGTAGTAGGTGGTGTCAGAGAGTTGTCTGTTGGCTGCTCTTATGTAGGCTTCACACTTAAAGATAACTATAGCTCCTCCTTTATCTGCTGGTTTTATTACTATTTGGTGGTTAGATCTTAGAGATTCTGTGGCACTTCTCTCTGAGAGGGAGAGGTTGTTATGGTGGTGTGTGTTGCTGATTATTTTATTGTTCATTCTTTCCATGAAGCAGTCAATGTAGTGGTCAAGGTTAGAATTTCACCTACTGTGAGGTGTCCAATCTGAGTTTGTTTTTTTGTTGGGGTTTTTTTTTTTGTTTTGTTTTGGGGTTTTTTTTGGTGGGGGGTGGAGTTTGATCTTTTCCTCAATGTAGTCAAAGGATAAAGTGTTGCTGGAAGTGGATTCATTTTGGTTGTGGAAATATTCCTTGAGGTGGAGGTGGAGGCGGAGGTGGAGGTGTCAGAAAAATTCTTCTAGTTCTCCACGTTGAAGTATTTTATTAGGGTATTTTTCTGGATAGAAATTCAGGCTTTTAGAGAGGGCAGATTTTTAGCTTTGGTAATTGTGTGCATGGAGAGATTGATGATATTTGAGGGTTGGTTGTTTCTTTCCGTTTCATCGAGTTTGAGGTTGGAATGTTGTAAGGCATTGGTGTTGTTTCCCTGATAGTTGCTTTGTGGTCAGGAAAGTTGTTCATGAAGTGACTGGTTCCATTTCTTCTTTTTATATTGGATGAATGTTGTAGACCAACTTTGGTAGTCTCTTTGTATATATTGTATAATGTTTGGTAAGATGTCTGGATTTTTCTCTTTTAAGTTGTTGTAGCATGTAGTGATTTCCTTCCTGAGCTGATCTCTTTTGGAGTAGGTTAGGTGAAGAAAATGATTTCTAAGTTTCTCTGAAGTTCTCCTGCAAAGTTGTGAAGCATTTTGGAGTTGTATGTAATAGTCAGAGGATTGCAGATGTTTAGTCCTCTGGGTACAATGTTGTGTTTCTTGCATAACCTTAGAAAATATATGTCACTGTTGAGTTTGGCTTCTTTCTTTTTCATGTTGTGTAATTTCCATTTCAAATGGCAAAATTCAATATCTTCCATATTTTGGGTGTATAGGCTGTAGCCGTGTTGGTCTAAGGGCAGAGACACAAGGTTCTTTGGGTAAATCCAATATCTTTTATTACAGATAAAACTGCAGATGCTTCCTCAGCCTGATGAAGGTTATTTGTACCCAAAAGCTTGCGAAGAAGACTTTTTCAACTCAACTATTTGAGTTAGATACCGGATTTACCCAAAAAACCTTGTCTGCCTGTGTCCTTAGACCAACATGGCTGCAACCTGTATTCCTTTCAAAATGTGTTTTTTCATGAATATTAACAACAGAATGTGTTGCATGCAAGTAAGACAGACCTTGCAGTAGAGGCTGAGAGGAGTCAATGCCCCAGGGAGACTTCTGAAGACATTGTGCTTCAGGCAGGTCCATTGTCTCCTGGAATGCAGGGATGTAGCTGCTATACTAAACTCTGGCAGATTACAGCCTCTGCTCCTGTCCCCACCCCTTTGGGGACCCTAGCGTTACTAGTGGCACTAATGACTGTATGAAGAAGTAGGATGAGGCTCCCCCTTTCACCCTTGCATCATCATCCTTGTGCACTTACCCAGGGTAGGTGACAGTCTTGTTCTTCACAAGCAGGACTTAAAGCCCAAGCTGTTTTTTCCCATGAGGTAAGGCCTCAGGAACAGGAACTCAGATCACCAATATATCTGCTGTTTGGCTGTCTAAGTGACTTCATATTCCTAAATACTGTTTTATCAAATAAAACATATATTTCACATGCTGTTGTGTTAAATGAAAGCTGTACTTATATGCATGTCATATCAGAGGAGGACGGGGATGAGGAAGATGAGGAGCTCGGGGAAGGTGAAGAGTTTGATGAAGTCCACACAGAGTCATCTGGGGAGGAAGAAGGGGTAGCTGAGAATATATCCCAGCACCCTCAGCTGGATGCAGAACCCAAGAGCACACTAGGCGGACCTCAGGCTCCACCAGACCCATCCTTTACACCAGCTGCTTCTGTTAATGAGGTAAATGCATCTAACAATTCTCTGACCTGTCAGTTATGCTTAGTGTCTCCTGTATTCTAGAGTACTGTGAATGATCTAATCTGATCTAATATAGACCACAAGATTTATGTCAGAAACATGTCAAAGATGATCATCAGAACAAGGAAGAGAGCAAAAAAATGTTAGTGCTATTGCACATACACCTAGATTCAAGCTTTGTATATAAAACTGAGTTCCTTGATGAAAAACAATTTTGCTATGTTACTTAAAAGATATTTGGTTGCTAAGATTTAATTTTGTACTTAAATTCTTAAGACCAAAAACCTTGGTGCTCAGTTTTGTTGTTTGTTCCTTTGTTTAGTAGAAACGACACCAATTCCTATAACTGAGTTGAGAATTAAAAACAAGAAAACTTTATCGTTCTATCAGATTTAGCCAGTCTTGAGGATATTTATAAGCCATTTCCACCTCACTTCTCTAATCTTTGTTTCTGTGAATGACATTTACCATACCTTCCTCTGGTCTTTTTATCCTGGGGATATCATTTAGAATTCATGTCTCATAATGTTAGTTATGGAAAAGCAAGGCTAATTTACCTTACATTTCTTACAGTGTAGTGGCAAACATTCTGGATTTGACATCTCTTTATATTTTTAGTCAATACTTCCATGGAACCATACTAAAGTGTAATACCAATAACCGTATATTTTTCAAGATCTGCACAAGAATAATAGGTGATAGTCACTTGCAGATCCCAGTATAAGGAATTCACTTAGAAGACATTAAGCTAAATTAATCTCTTATGCAACTCCACTCAGAGCCTTCAATGAATGTGGCCTGTTGTTCCAGAGCTACTCTGATGACTTTGAAGCTGCTGATGCACAAGCAAGGAAACAAATAAAGGATCCATGTTAATGGCAAGCTTCCTACTTCACAGCAAGCAAAAAATAAATTCACTAGATTTGGCCTTTCTTTGATCTATTAGAGATTTTACAGGTTTGTGCCTGCAGACTTGGGTAGGCTCTTAAATTGGTTTAGAAATGTCTTATATTGATTTATCATAGGTTGATTTCTAACCAGCTTACTTTAAATTTAAACAACAACATGGACATACAAATAATTTACAACAGACATAAAGCTTTACCATATGTGAGCTGCACTGTGGTAACTTCCTGCGTGCGCGCTATTACCCTGTGGTGAGTAGAAGCTAAATCACATTAATTGACATCTGTTTCACTGAGAGCTAACTACCACAATTTAGTAGTGTGCAGGAGATAAGATCATGCACAAAGGCAATTACTGTAGGATGGTTCTATAGCATCCCCACTTTTTGTGCTGTGGTGAGTTATTCAGAAATCCATATCCTAAACCAGTGAGAGCCAAACTTTTTGGCTGGTGTACCACCAATTAGCTCTGCACTCTCCCCAAGTGCTTCTCTGATGCACTTCCCAGGGGTGACTGGTGCCTCCTGAGTCTGCGGGGGCACAATTTGTGAGCGGGCCCGGGGTGGGCCAAAAGTCCCATATCCACGCCTATGCTTCTGTGCCATAGCTTAGTGTGCTCCCCCCCACAACATGCCGCTGGCCCACACAGCAAAAAAACTGCCCCATCCTAGGTGGTGCTGAGTTGGGGGCCAATCTCAGGCGGGGCATGTGCCCCCTGTACCTCCCCTACCAGTCGCCTGTGGCACTTCCCCAGTCTGAACTGCTGCTCTGCTTTCTGCCCTGTGCTCCCTGACTGATCTGCTGCTTTGCTTCCTGTGTTCTGCCCCATCTGCTGCTGTGCTGCCTGTCCCCACTCTGATCTTAGATAGATTCATAGATGTTAGGGTTGGAAGGGACCTCAATAGATCATCGAGTCCGACCCCCTGCATAGGCAGGAAAGACCCCCTGCATAGGCAGGAAAGAATCTGTTGCACACCACACACAAAAGACCATTTGTGGCATACATGCTGCAGGTTGGCCATTTAACCTGTTTTCATTTGATCTAAGAATGTTGCTGGTGGAGGTGCACTGGTTTAATTTAATCAATGGGGGCATCTATACACATGGCAGACCTATGCTCTGATACATGCTAATTAACATGTGTCAGAGCAGATGCAATTAATTGAGTCTGCTGCGAGTCTGCTGGAGAATGCCAATTAGCGCACTCCAGCAACCTCTGCATTATGTGTATTCAGTGTCCGTGCATTTCAAAATGGCTATGGGAGCACTTTAACTAAAGCTCATTAAACAAGCTTTAGTTAAAGCTTCCCTGTCACCATTTTGAAGTGCGGGATGCTCAATACACATAATACCGTGGGTGCTTTAATTAGAGCGGAAAGGGTGTAGTGTTGCCAGCTGCTCCTGTCACTGATAAGGTGCAGTTTCACGAGTTATATTACAGAGACACTGCCATTGGTGGGCAAATCTATATATTGATTGTCATTATAATTGACTTATTTTAGCTTCTCACATCAGTAGGATAAAGTTTGAATGATATGATTCAGTACATTTTTTTTTAATTTTTTTTTTAATTATTATTCACTCCAAACCTAAGTGAATCCAGTTGACTTCCATGGGCATTAGATTTGTCCCTTCATTCAGCATTCTCTTAAATGTATGGGGCCAGTTCCTGAGTGTGTACCACTACTTTATCTCAGTACCGTACCTCAGAAACAAGAATTCCTCTGAGTGTAAACTGAGATAAAGCTGAATAAGAGCCTCTGAATTTGAGGTATAGTTATTTTTCTGTACCAAACAGTCATTAGACAAAATCTCTCTAAAGCAAAGAGCCTCATTCTCCTCTTCTACAAGTTTTTATCCCACTGTGATTCCACTGATTTCATTGAAATTACCCTTCACTTATGAGTGGAAAGAAAATCAAGCCCAAGGTATATCATTAAATTAATAAAGTGACAATTTCATTAATAGTTTCTCAGTTAAAACTCTCTTTAAACTTGATGGGGATTTTTGCTGAGTGAAGACTGAAAGGATTCAACCCATTGTTTGTATATGATTATCTATATATACAAATGCTAGATGCTTTTGCTCTGTGTTTCAATTCTAATTGTTCTGAGAACTACAGACAGTACTGCATTCTTTATAGTAAATTAGAAACACGAATGTGGCATGCAGTAAAATGTGGTCTAACATGGAAAAGTAACACAGTGCACTCTGCTGTTTTTGTTCTTTTCTACTTTATCTGTCCTGATTAAGGATCAGGTTGTGCCAGGTGGTTCTCAGCAGACTGCAGAGTCTGATATTCAAGTGCCATCAACAGCAGAAACTGCCGACCCTTTCCTTTACCCTAGTTGGTATAAGGCCCAGTCACGGCAAGCAAGCACCCCAAATGCAACCCAAATACATGAGGGATTGAATAAAGTAGGGCCTTCTGCTTCTCTGGAAATGAATGTAAAGAAGGCAGATGCTACAGAAGCAACAACAACCAATGAGAATGCACCTGGGAGTGGTAAGGAAACTACAGCAACTTCTGAGGTTAGTGCTGATGAAACCTTCTCAGAGTGTATTTGTTAGGAACTGGGGTCCAAATGCAATATTTAACAAAAAATGTTTAAAGACACAAACACTATCTGTTGTTTCAGAGATATGGAAATAAAACTAATCTTAACCTCAAAAATTAAAATATTTTAGTAAAACCCTTCAAAAATTAAAATAGTTGATTAAAATATATTATGGGCCAGACTCTCAAATATAAAAATCCACAATACTGTGCATACATTTGCCTGTGCCTAACTATGTGCCAATGCACAAACTATGAGTGAGCCAATACCCAAAACGTTATTTCTCATGTGTATGATCAGTTAGAGGTCAGACAAGTGTCTAATTGGCCAAGTCTTTGCACATCAGATATTTACATCCATGGATGCAATTGTACTCATCAGCTGCTAAAAATCTGGACACTCATGTCACCTGCAATTGTACACCTACTGCATAAGCAGCTGTTTCTTTTGATTCACCCACTGTAGTTTTACAGATGTGTCAGTCACAAATTAGAAATGTATGGCTGTTTAGTGTTACTCTTTTCTATGTGCAGAGTGAGCTATGTAAATGTCAGGATTCTTCTCTTTGTCTGATAACAGTTCAAAAAGCATGGTGTGATTTTGCTTAATGTTACCTTGTAACAATTATTCCAAGGTTTTTTCTTCCATGTGTGTTTGTGACATGATCAAAAAAAAGCATGAGCATAACAGAGTCTAGCTCTGTATTAGAACATCACTATTATGACAGCAGTATGATGACATAATGTAGTTTGATGTGGACTTTTTTATCTTCCTTCTTAAAAGGACACTGTCAGAACCGGCAGCCTCAAAAATGTAACTTCTTTCTCTTTGTTTGGAAAGTCTATGTAATTCATAATGCTTCAGATTTTTAAGTGGAGCTGAGGGACATTTGTAAAATACATTTATAATATACAGGCACCTTCACTGGGGGATCCAAATGGACTAAGACCTAATTTTGAAAATTGTCTATTAATTTAAAATGTCTTTATTTCTGAGTGTCAAATTTGAACTGTGTAGGTTTTGGAAGATGTGGACACCTATTTTCCTTGAAGCTTACTTGTGGGCATGTCTCGGTGTAATGTGTGTGTTTTGTGTGTATATGTGTGTGCATGTGCACATGTGCCTATGCACACCTCGGCAGTGAGTATTTCAGTGGCATGTTTGCTTTTAAAAAATTATCACTGGCAACTTAGCACATGTGTAAACTCTTCAGTAAATAAACACTGGTGATAGGGAAAAAGATAAACAAATGGCACTGCATTCAGATGTGGTATAAGATAACTCAGCTCTACTGACTAAGGATCCAATCCAGTGACCATTGAATTCCATGGAAAATTTCCCATTGGCTTAAGGCTTAATGAAGTCTAAATTTGGCCCAAAATTTTCAGCATTAGGCTAGGGCTTCATTTGAGAACAAGGATGGGGAAATATATTTAAAAAGTATGCAAACTATCACGACAATGTCTTCTTAAGAATGTTCCAGGCAAATGATAAAAGCTGGTAACACTGAAAATGAAATTTGTTGCTGTGGGTTTTTTTTAATAGAAATGTTACAAAGGATTGGAATCCAGTCCTTACTATACTTAGAATCATAGAATCATAGAAAGTTAGGGTTTGAAGGGACCTCAGGAGGTCATCTAGTCCAACCTCCTGCTCAAAGCATGACCATCCCCAACTAGATCATCCCAGCCAAAGCTTTTTCTAGCTGGATTTTGAAAAACCTCCAAGGATGGAGCTTCCACCACCTCTCTGGGTAACCTGTTCCAGTATTTTACTACCCTCCTAGTGAGAAAATTCTTCCTAATATCTAACCTAAAATTCCCTTGGTGCAACTTGAGATAGTTGTTCCTTGTTCTGTCATCTGCCACCACTGAGAATAGTCTAGCTCCATCTTCTTTCAAAGCCCCCTTCAGGTATTTGAAGGCTACTATTAGGTCCCCTCTCAGTCTTCTCTTCTCTGGACTAAATAAACCCAGTTCCCTCAGTCTTTCCTCATAAGTCATGTCCCCCAGCCCCCTCACCATTTTTGTTGTGCTCCGCTGGACTCTTTCCAATTTGTCCACATCCTTTCTGTAGTGGGGGGCCCAAAACTGAACACAGACAGTACTCCAGATGTAGCCTCACCAGTGCTGAATAGAGGGGAGTAATCACTTCCCTTGACCTTCCCTTGAGCCAGTCATCATAAAAGGTAATCAGGTTGGTCAGGCATGACTTGCCCCCGGTGAATCCATTTTGACTGTTGCTAATCACCTTCTTTTCCAAGTGCTCAGAAATGGTTTCCTTGAGCATCTGCTCCATGATTTTTGCAGGGACTGAGGTGAGACTGACTGGTCTATAGTTCCCTGGATCCTCATTTTTCCCTTTCTTAAATATGGGGACTATGTTTGCCCTTTTCCAATCATCTGGGACCTCTCCTGATTGTAATGAGTTTTCAAAGATGATGTCCAAAGGCTCTGCAATCACATCAGCCTACTCCCTCAGCACCTTCAACTACATCCCATCTGGCCCCATGGACTTGTACATGTCCAGCTTTTCTAAGTTGTCCCTTGTCCCCTTCTTGCTACTGACATAGTTGTAGAAACCCTTCTTGTTACCCTTCACATGTCTTGCTAGCTGCAACTCCAATTGCGCTTTGGCCTTCCTGACTTCATTCCTGCATGCCCAAGCAATGTTATTATATTCTTCCCTAGTTATTTGTCCAAGTTTCCACTTCTTATAAGCTTCCTTTTTGTGATTTAGCTTACTAAAGAGTTCCCTGCTAAACCAAGCTGGTCTTCTGCCATACTTGCTAGTCTTCCTGCACATTGGGATGGTTTGTTCCTGTACTCTCAGTAAAGCTTCTTTCAAGTACAGCCAGCTCTCCTAGACTCCTCTCTCTCTCAGTCTGGCATCCCCCCCAGGGGATCCTGCCCATGTGTTCCCTAAGTTGCTTACTTGGGTAAAATGTCTGTTGAGTTAATTTACTGGGAGCTTTGCCTGAGAGTGGACTGCTGCCTTGGACTCTTATTATCAGTAGTAGGTAAAATAACCAAATAAATGTTTGATGTGATTTTTTTCTTTCTGGAAAACTACAGCAGTGGCATTCAAGCAAACTAGCAAAGCAATCCGCAATTCACCTTTCCCTTGCAAAGTTAATCAGTTAAGGAAAGTAGAAATAGAAGAGAGAACAAGTGGGAAAGTGTATTCTAAGGGTGTAGCAATTCCTGTATTTTTGTGAATCCTTGGTATTGAATACCATGTTTCAATAGTTATTGAAGCTAAGCCTGATGTTTACATTTCTAGGGATGGGGAGAGTAGCAGGCCAGAAAAAAGTTCTACATAGTTCTGGGACTTAGAGAAATTATGGATAAGATGTACAAAAAAGGGTGGGCTGTCAACATGTTGGGAAGTAGAAGGTTAGTGAGGTGGCATTATAGTGGGAGGAAGAAATTGCAGGACATATTGGTGGGATCAGAGAGATCAGGGTAAGACAGACAGCGATAGATGCCACAGCTGAGGGAATGGAACAGTGCTGTGACTGTGTCTTGGTCATACATAAAATGGTCTCTGGCACATAGCAGCGATCACTTTAAGTATGCAGACTTCAGCATTTCTTCCTCTGCATGTGATTTTTACAGTTACTGGATTCATTTATATAACTGGGTAATTTATTACACCACTGTTTTTCCTACTCTCCTAACTTTAACAATAACATGCAAAAGAACAACACATGGGAAAAGTGTTTTAAGAACAGAACGTCTTCACCAAACTCAGTTCAAAACAGTTCACTATGACAATATTTATGAAGCATTCTTCTTATTTTTCTCACAGGGGTTAGCATTCTGCATATCAGTTTTGGTTTTTCTTATCATGCTACATCACCTCTGGCGTCAGATTCACTACATGATTTTTGCTTTAATGGGTAGGAAATGTTTGTTTTACTATTAACTAACAGCACAAAGAGTTTCTTTAGTAATGTTTCTAAGTAGTTTAAAAAGGAATTTTCCCTTCTCCCATCTAAAAGGCACCATGCTCTATCATACCTGCTGCTTAAAACTCTCCTACTCCCAAAATGCCACCCTCAAATTTAATCCTGCATGGTTCAAAATTTCATCTACATGATTTTTAAAAGCCTCACATTAATGGGCTTATTTCAGTTGTTGTCTGGAATTTTAGTAGCTACTTGAAACTATGAATCAAGAATAAAAAGAATCTACAATTATTTTTGTGACGTACATACTACATAGTCATGCAAAGTGAATAATGAGCTTTGTTAGAGTTAAAAGTATCAGTTTGGATGAGAAATAGTTTCTTTAGGAGTAAGCAGAGGTAGGTAATTTGTGGAGTCATCATACAAAGTGCTGTGGAGTTCTTTTTTGGAGCCTTGTGTGTGACTCTGGTCTCCCATATTCAAGAAAAATGCACTGAAATGGAAACAAGGTAACAGAGAATTAATAGAGAAGGATTACTGGGGTGATCATGAAAGGAGACTACTATAAGAGCTTGTCTTATTTAGCTTTGCAAAACAAAGGCTGAGAAGGACCCCTGCCAGCCCAGGCTGCTATCACCGGACTCCATGTACTGCACACAAATAAACTCCGGAGCTAATTCCTCCAGAGTTTTTTGCTCCAGGACATGCATTCAAACAGTGTTTTTCATGCACATTAATGGCATGTGTAGACACACCCCTATCTACCTAATTTCTGGTAGTAAGTTGCACTAAGTTGTAAGACACCTAAATCTCCCACCTGAATCTGGCCAGGAGTATCAGATCTTAGGCACCCATGTTTAAAATTGTTTGGCCTTTGTCTTTATTACCCAGGATTATAAATCTACCATTCAGATCTAGATATTGAGCCTCCTAACATTACAAAATGTTCACATACAGAGGTTGGTTGGCATATTATAAATGCAGGGGTCATTTGCAACAATTGAAAGTTGGTATACATTTTATATACTCCCAATATCCATGGTATTTCTTTGTGCCACTCTAATGTCAAATCCTAAGGGTGTTACTCAGACCCCAATCCAGCATAACACTTAGTACACGCTTAACTTTAAACAAGTAAATATTCCCCTTGGAGTCATTCCCCTTAGAGTAGTTAACGGGACCCCTTAAATGTTTTGCTGGATCAAGAACTAAGAGGTGCATGGGGAAGTTGGCCTGGATAGTTATTGTGGAAGAGCTGTGGAACTAGTCTATTCTAGACTAGTTTGTGGGTGGACACTCTTAATCCAGAACAGGTAAATTGCTTTAATTCCCACTACGCTTTATTGTGGAGTAACTTCCCTGTGTAGATGAACCTTGATTTTTTTCCTCAGACTAATTCCAGAATTGTGACATTATAGACGATGCTGTTTTATAATGCAGAATTATGATTTGGGTTTTACATGTTGAAATGCTAGCACTTCGACTAATGTATTGCTATCAATACATAAAATAGGCTATTATTTGTATTTTATGTGCCTAACGCATGCAAAAAGATATACTGACTTATAGCAATTTGAACTAGAAAAGAATCTGACACTATGAATTTCTCAAGTAGATTTACTGAACATAGTTTAATTTTCATTTATATTTTGCTTGTTTTTAAAAATTAAATATACTGCTACAAGAATGCATCAAGAACATCTGGGCTCAAGGAAAATCAAACAGGAAAATAAAATTATGATCCTTGTTTTTCCTCACTTATTTTCTTCAAAATACCTTTGGAAATTAAATATAACGAACTGCAAAAAGCTTTCAACACTTCTAGCATTTGGGAACTTCATTGCACTCTATCTCCAATGGCAGCTTGATTATTAAATCATGAAATAAGAAGGGCTAAGGGATAGGGCCATTTGGTCTGCAGGGCTATTTGCATTAAAAAAAATTATCTTCTATGTATAATGACTTGGAGATTTATGGAATTTGTGCATTTTTTTATTTTTTTCATAAAGAAGAACAGGTTAATGCTTTTGGGACCCTATTAGCCCAGTAACCTTTTAAAGTGAAATATAGACGTTATTCTAACAAAAATAATGCAGACATATTTTTATCAGACGGGAAGGTGGGTTAGTATTTTCAGGGTGTTGGAATGGGGTATCTCTGATCAAAGATAGATTTTTCTATTTTTCACATGCACTAAAATTGATACTACATATTAATAGAAAAAGATTACTTTCTCAGTAAGTGACCCCTTCATTCCAGTAGTTGCAAGTCATTACTTATGCATCGAGAAATTCCCTCCAGAAGGTGGGAGGCTTTTGTTAAGTAGCAGTAAGGGAATGCAAGGGTCTGAGTCATTAGAATTACAAGCACATGGGTTTGAGAAGAGATCTCATGGGCATGTTCCAACAAGCATGCACGTGCAGTTTGCAGTGCCTCAAAGTAGTTTTGAGGCACCACAAACTGCACGCAGCACATGTGCACCCATTTGCTGCACTGCTAATTAGCATTGTAGCTAGTTTTTTTGACACTGGGAGATCCCAGAGTCAAAAAAAAACCACCACTGAAAGGGAGCAGCCATAAGAAACATGTACCCCTGCATATGCACGATTGTCAGGATGTGCCCTGTGAGATGATTAAATATCAGTGGAATAAGACAATTCCTTAGTAAAAATGGTATGGAAGAAAATCAGAAAGGATAGATTAAATCACAGAGAATGAAGACAAAATCAGTATATTGCTTTAATTCTATTGAAATCTGTATGGGAATTATACAGTGTATTTAGGAAGGAAGATGTAGAGCTTGAGCAAGGATATAATAGATCTATTCAGCATTCTGCATATTATATTATTTGGAACAACTTCGAAAAGAAAGATTGAGAAATGTCCATTCCATAATAACCTCTCCCACAACAGTTACTCATGTTGGGGAATGTGGGTTTAAATCCCCTGGAACAGAAAAGTGCTATGAACTTGAACTTCCCATGATGGGGTTATGTATAGTCTGAGCATGCCTATCTGATCAAACCCCAAACATGAAGTACATAGAGGAATGCCTATTTTGTGAATTTGATGGGTTCTTAGATATGAGATAGGCACCAAGCAGCTCAGTGATGTCAGGACTTGGGCAAATATATGTATGCCTAGCAATAGACATATAAGAACTTACAAAACTTATAAAACTTTACCATTGGAAATGTGGGTGTCCAAAGAATTTGAGCAGCTGATGGGTTAGGCATGTATTTTGTGAATGCCTATCAAAAGAAAGGGTCTAAGGTCTGTCCAAGCCTAATGGCCCATCAAGTAGCATGGCTAAGGCACTCCTTCCCTCTGTCCCCCACCCCACTACTGTACTTGAGTACAAGATAAAAGCTGTTTTGATCCTCCTTTAAATAGAAGTGATTTTTTCCCATAGTAATGCTTTCAGTCTACAACTGAAGAGGGGGGCTATAGGAGGTAGAAGACTCATAAACAAACAGCACTCCGAAAATTATGCTTCTTCTCTATTTTTTACAGAGATGCATGTATGCCAGAAAGTCCAGATCAGAGGCTGTTGGCAAATAAAGTGTGGATAGATTCCTGCTCATAATGGCTAGGGGCAGACATTTAAAAAGCCTGAGCCTAAATTAATTCAACCTTTGCAGGTTAGTCTAACCTGGCTAGGCTGAACCTGTTTGAACCACTGCAGGCATATGTCTGTATTTCCTCAGTCCAGAGAGAATGTCTGTTTGGTTACAACTTCGGCTAGAAGCTGGGGGGTGCTATAGCAGCCCTCCCTTCCCTTCCACAATACTGAGCTGAGGGGGGGCATGGCCAGGCCCCAGCAGGACCTCTGATTAAGGAGATCCTCCTGCACCATCCCAGGGTTTTCCCTGCTGGCTACTCAAGGGGCAGGAGTGTTGCCATACCCCAGACCCCTGCTAGCACTCTGAGGCAAGCAGAGGTGGGGTTTACAGTGCATGCATCTACCTTGGGCAAATTCAAGAGCAGGTTAGATGATCACCTGTCTGGGGTCTTGTGAACCCAGCATTCATTCCTGCCTGTGGCAGGGGGTCAGGCTAGATGATCTGTTCAGGTCCCTCCTGACCCTAGCTACTATGAAACTATGAAACTATGATGATATGACCTTTTCAATCTCCCTTCCTGCTTCTTTATACTGTCTGCAGCAAGCTGACAGGCAAGCAAGCTAGCAAGAGTATGATAACAGTGTTTATCACCCCTTCCGCAAAACAATAGCTTCTCTTCATTAGTTCAGACTCTCCTTAAACAGCTTACCAGCTGACCTGTTGATTAGCTCCAAAAAGCCCTAAGCGGTCACTGTTCTGTCTGCCTGTCCCAGTGAAATTGGAGACACACACACACACAACAGACAACTCTTGCATTAGCTAGCATAACACATGCCTAGGGTCCGGGGGAAGCTAGGCAGACCCTGCTGCACCTGCAGTCTCTGCCAGAGCTCCAGCCAGGGAGCAGAGGGGAGGGGCCAGCTCTGCTGTAGAGCAGAAAGCTCTGCAGAGCCCAGAGAGCATGCTGGGATGCTGGGAGAGTCTGGTTTATCTTAAACCAGCAAGGGGTCTTAAACAGACTGTCACAGAGCACTAAGGTGCCCTGCTCCTAAAGAGGAGAAACTGCTAGAGAGAGAGCCATAGCAGTGAATAAGGAACCCAGCTGTTGGTTGCCAGGGCCACCAGGAGGTCAGCTGACTGGAAAGGGGCAGGGCCTGTCTCCCTTATAAACCCAAGGAGCTGAGGCCAGAGGGAGTTCACTGTCAGCAGCCCAGGAGGAAGGAGCTCTCTGCCCTGAAAGAGAGATGAAGCCTAACTGAGGGAGCAGCGGCTGACACGGCTGCGGAATGGACTTTTTCCCGGTAGGATGGAACGTTGTTTTGGCCAAGCGGCTGCAGTTTAAGTTATAGCCGGAGTGGCTTGCGTTTGTGTTGTTGTTTATCACCGGTGGTTTGGGTGAGGCTACTAGGGGTTGGAGGAGGCCTCATAGGAGTCTCACAGTGGAGTGTGGGAATCCCAGTGCCAGCAAGGGCGCAGCATTCAGGGTGCACTGACCCCAGCCCCAGAGAGGGGGCAGTTGAGAAGCCCCAGAGAGGGGGCATTACTGAGAAGCCCCAGTGTGGGCGTGGTGAACCCCGGAGAAGGGGGCAGCATTGCGGTGAACCCCAGAGAAGGGGCAGCATTACTGAGAGGCCCCGGAGAAGGGGGTAGCAGTGCGGTGAGCCCCGGAGGAGGGGGTAGCATTACGGTAAACCCCGGGGAAGGGGGCAGCATTGCTGAGGAGACCCCGAGAGAGGGCGGCACTGCAGAAGAGCTCAGAGAGAGGGTGGCATGGTAGAAGAGCCCCAGAGGAGGGTGGCTTTACAGGGAAGGCCCCAGAGAGGGACAGCATTGTAGAAGAGCCCCAGAGAGGGGCGGTGCTACCGAGGAGGCCCTGAGAGGCAATACTGAGGAGGGGCAGCATTGTGGAAAAGGCCCCAGAGAGAGGGCGCGGAGAGAGACAGGGACACGGAGGGCCTGAGCGCCAGAGAGAGTGTAGACCTGGACAGAACAACGTCCATTCCAGCTGCAAGGCTTGGGGTGTGGTGAAAGGGGTGGTTGGAGCCACGCATAGCCCCTAAGGCTAGGGTGACCTGGAAGCACCCATTTGTAGAGCAGGACCCACGAGGGGTCTGGGAGTCTACAGGGCAGAGACTACAGCAAGACGTGACTAAGAGGGAGGAAAAGGCAGCCTCCCTAACATTTTTCAACACCAAAGATGTGGTGGGCAAGAAACTGAGGGTGCCCTTGGGCCAACTTGGCACGGGAAGGGGGCCTTGAGGAGATCACGGCCGTCCTGCAGGACCCCGCCATGACACAGACATTGCATAAACTGGTTTGATCCAAATCAGTTAGTACTGATACTGCTTTCAACCAGGTTTATCTCAAACTGGTTTCAGCCATTTTCAAACGGATTACGTGCACTGAACATCTGTTCTGTTACAGGTTTAAACCAGTTTCTGATCACTTAAACTGGTTTATGTGTAATTTCTGTCCCTAGCCGATAGGTTCTGTTAATTTTCCATTGTTCAGTTGCCTTTTTGTTTACATGAGTTCTTGGAGGGCTTTTTTTAGTTTAATACAGTCAAACAAATCTAGAAAAATTCTATCTGCTCTCATTCAGCGCTGCTGTTTCCCTTGCTACTCAGAGTTGTCTGTGTGATTCAGCAGTGTTGGCAATGAGTTGCAATGACAATACAGTAAGACCAGTTCTCAGACAACACTGTTCTTATTAATTTGAGTGAGCGGATACTTCACCTGAAATTTTGCATTTAATAGTCTGGTCTGTGGACTGTTTGGTGAGTGACAGATACATTCTAGTTGGTGTGTATTTAGTGTTGGTCCATTTTATCCTTAATTTTTGGTCCATTTTATCTCTCATTTTTCTAACAGTTTTGTCCATTTTATAACAGTGAGACCATGAACAAAATGTTTTCTGCTGTTCAGATTTATGCACAGTCAGCTTCGCATAGATTTGTATTAGTGTAACTACTTTATTTAAAAATTGAACAGATTCAAATTCTGGTCGTCTTTAACCCACATTTTTAAGTCATTTTTCTCTTTGTTGTTTAATACAAGATCCTAAAAGGAAAAGATCACCTGTAAAATATTCTTTCCACTCTTCTCTCAATCACAGCTGAATTGTTACTGTTTTACATAATGTCATGGTATTTTCATGTCCCAGCTGCACAGACCATCTATGTGGAAAGTTATTGGTTAGATCTCACTAGTCCTCTGGAACATTTCAGGTTTTCTGTTTACCTGTGAACAATTTTATATTAAGCAGGGCTTATTCTTTTTGTATCCACTGCAGATGGACCAGCACTTAAACATTGGCCTCTCTGGCTACAGATGTTGAAATGCCCATTGACAATGGGCTAGTTATGACTTTGCTTGCATACAGTATTATCTCACTGCTCAACCTCCCTGACTTAAAAACAAGTAAGATATTGACATTTAAAATAATGAATAAGGTACTGTATTTTCAATGCTGGTCACAAGAATAACCCAATCTATTAGAATTAAGAGAGATGCTATATGTACAAGTGCACATTCATAAACCAAAACAGGCTCCCTTAAAATACTACTGGTATACCACTTTTGTACACAATGCAGGCAGCTATTATTCACAGTGCAGTAGTTCATGTGCAACCTGATGTATTACACAATGCATTGATAAGGAAAGATGATTGTTATCATCGACTCTCTAATAATCGGTACAGCAAAATGGAGTGCAGCTGTGTAAGAAAGAGCTGTACTTACCTCCAACTCTGTAATATTCATCTGGAAAGCCCCTTGGGATTGACAGAAAGGACCTGGGTTTAACATATTGCTTAAAAGATGAGAGAGTGCTATAAAGGAATGCCAGCATTGCTTGTGTATGGGTTCAGATCAGACTGAGAGACATAATTCTACAATCACCTGTCCAAGATATAGCAGAGCAACATGCTGTTTTTGGAGTGGGATTTTTTTTTTCTTTTTTTGGCTACCAGCATTAAGAATCACAGTCATAGCAAGGAAAAAATGCACTCACCCACTGACCCAAACAAATTAGCCCACAGAGGAAAAGATGTAGAAATAACAAGAGAATCAGGGGAAAGGGCAAAATGTTTACCTGTGCCATGGGCTTTCTCTTTCCTTTACACATAGCTTTAAGGAATGAGAACCTGCTGTTTCAGCTAACATTTCAACAAGTTGTTTTTTCTCCTGGAGCTCTGTCACTATTTTTCTGGCCTTCAAAGAACATGCAGTGTGTCCACAGCTATTATATACCACCCTCAACATATTTACAATAACACAACTAAGTCATTCATTCATGACTAAATGTAAGTACAGCTCAAACCTTCGAAGTATGGTATGTGTTTACGAACCCCACAAATTATGCTGGCTTTGTTATCTGATACAATGAATCAAACACTTGGGTGACTCACACTCTAAACCTGTGGTGTGTCTCATTCATCAAGTTTACAACAGTGTCATTTGAAAAAACAATCTTTAATTTACTGCACTATTCATTTCCCCATGGAATAGCTATACAGCAGAAACAATCTTGCCTCTCCCAGTCTCTGTGACTAGGTAGTAGTTTCTTTTGACTGAAATTAGAAGAGCACATCCTGGAAAGTAATGTTTAGATTTTGATCTTTTCTTTGTACTTAAGGGAGGAACAGAGAACCATTGGTGGCAGTCAGTTTTGTGACTATCAGTAGTTTTCTTACACTGACAACCAGAAATTCTTGTATTTCAAAAGAATTATTAATGGACCATTCTCTGGTGAAACTAGAAAAGGAGAGTGACCAGATTATCAAGGACTGTTGATTAACCGTAAGGCTTTGCAGAGTTTTGCTATTGGAATATCAATTAATAGAAATTCCCTTCACTTTCCATACTTACCATATGATTCATTTACTCTCACAATTTTTCCTTTTGTGTTCACTCCACCATCAGCAGGGTTAGGTTTTATTCTAGATTGGAGAGCTTGATGAAGACTGATGCTTTATTGAGAGCATAGAGTTCATTGACAAACAAAAAGGAAGATGGATGGAAAATTGAAAGGATGCTCTCTTATTGTTACATTTTTTTGACTGAGCCACTAAGATATATTGGTAGCATGGTGAAATTAATTGTGTTTGGCTTGTCCCAAAGGAACTTTTATATAACTTCAGCAACAAGGAAGTGTTGATTTAAATTACTGAGAGTTACTTTTGGCAAAACCTCATGAGTATTCCATGAGACTCGAGGAGTACTCCATACTCAGTATTCTGTAAGGAATGTATACACCATGCACAAAAATAAGCAAATGTGATCTTTTTTGCCCACAGCTATATTCGGTATTTTCAAGGTAATGAAATAAGGAACATTGCACCATCCGTTGTAATGTAATGAAAATCCATTTAAGTAAGACTCTCAATGGACTTTTAAAATTCACTACTGGCCACTATTCAGAGAATGACATGGTTAATACTATGATTGATGGAGTTTGTCTAGGCATATTACTGTCTGCTACAAGATGTACATGAAAAATTATTTCAAGAAATATTGTGTTGGTTCCCCTGAAATTAAAACAGATCTACTTAAAATAAGCCAACCTCTCAGCTTGACACAGTGTTGTACTGAAAAAGGTGACAGCAGTGAGGTGTTTTGCTAAAGGAGCTGTAGTGCATAAAAATATAAACAGATTATTTAACAGAAGTTTATATTATTCCTAAATAAGCTTTTGTGAGCCTTTCGGTTCAACTCCCTGAAAATGTTGAGTAATAGAAATACCATTGTTGACATTTGAAGCTATGTGCCCAATTGACATTTTTTAATTATGACCATTTTAGTCACTGGGGGTGTTTAGAACCAGATGAGTTAAAATTTACTGATTAACCTTAATTTACTTACCACACATTGTTCTTGTCTAGTCACACCCTTAGAGGCAGGAAGCATGTGTCATTCACTATGAAGTTCTCTAAGTTTCATTTTTTTCCCAATTTTTATCCTTGGTATCCCACCAAATGAAAACAGCTGGCTGAAGAGAGACAGTAGGCAACTGATGATAGAATGCAGGTCATTGCTGCAATTGAAAAATTAACAAATACACCTCTTCCTAAGGTCACATCTAGAACTTTTCCTCCACATGCCTGTCTGTCATATCACTGTAAATCTAGACCACGGTTACTGAGCCAGCTGCAGCTGACTAGGGAATTTGGTTTAGGATTACATTAAAAAACAATGATTATGAGGACAGCAAGGGTTCTGAGAAATGGTAAGAGCTACAAGATTATTCTGTGCATTTGCCAAAACATTATTCTGCATATTTTTGTCTTAATAGCAGTAAAAGTACTAATGTAAAAATGTATGGTGAAATTTCAAGGTTTTTACTTGCTCCTTACTCAAGCAAACTCCCTCTAATTGTCTCAGCCAGACAATTAAAACAGTGATGGAATATCAGAATTCTGGTCATATTTTAAAATGTCAATGAACTTGGGCCTTTTCCTGTGTAACTATGTAGTCACTATGAATGACAGTCAGCTTTCTGGGGGGGGCAACTCAAGGTGTCAACACACTTATCTACCTCAACATTGGACACAGCTAGGACTATTTTGAGATATTAAATACATTTCAGAAGCACACAGACCTTGTCCTGCCGCACAGCAGGAACTTCAGTCAGTATCCAAAAAACTATGTGAATAAGCAAAAATCATTAGAAACCATTTTGTGGTTTTCAGACATCCAGATACTCTTTAGAGAGAAAAGAAATCCATAGAGAGTAGCAGCCTGCTAGGGAAAGTACAGGTTATTAAAATGGCAGTTGCACACAAAGTCTAATGCCATTGACAGTTTTCTAAGGAACACTTTATACTGATCACTAATTATTATATAAAACATCAGAGACATATAGGTAGGAAATTTGCAATTGCAAATTATCTTTGGCCCATGATATGTTTCTAATAGCCATGGGGAAATGAAGCTATTTCACCCATCACGTCTCATTATATCAGGTCACTTTGCAAGATGGCACAATGTAACTTACAATGCCATTGTAACAATACATCTAAGATCTATAGAAACATGCAGGATTTTTCCATAATTAGAACACATTAAAATATGCATGGCTACTAAAAGCTGAAAGACCTCAAAAAACCCAACAAAAACAAAAGTCCCTCAAGCTCAGTTATCTGCCTACTTGGTAGAAGATGGTAGTTAGGACAAAGTTCTTAATTCCAAACAAACATGTTTCGGATATTCTGAAGTTTTTGTGTTTGGAGGGCAGGCAGGCTAGTGGCTGTAAACAGAAAACAGTATATAAGATAGTGAAATATTCCAGATGGTTAATACCCCTGACTACCTCATGACTTTTTTCCAACATAAATTGAAACTGCAGGACATTAATAAACAAAGACGGGTCTGGTGAAGTCAATTTTCTTGTGTTAATATGAGCTTTGTAAAGATTCAACTAGTGCCACTGCCACAGTGCTTCTTGAACCAAACCCTGAGAGGTGCTGAGTACCTGGCAGTCTCATCCAAATTAGATCAGATTAAACCCAGAAGTCTTAATTTAGGCCTGACTCAAGCAAATACTCCAGATGCTGAAAGGTGTTGAGCACTTGCTGAGTTTAGCAGGAATTGCAGATGCTTGGCACCTCTCAGGACTTGACCCACAGAATTTCTTCATAGGCAAACAATGAATAAATCTCTGTAGTTTCAGGCTTTCATCTTCTCTTGTGATCCGGAGTTGCTGGGCCTTACTTAGGGCACAATCCAGAGTTTCTTGATGTCATTGGGGAATGCCTGGGAATTGCCTATGTATTCAGCGCCCTTCCAGAGTTGCCTTAATGTAACAAAGGCAATCTGAAGCAAATACTTTAGCTACCCAATACTATTATTAGAGACCATAATAAAAAAATGGGGCTTCATGATGATGGGTGCTGTATAAAAATGCCTAATCCAGGAATCTCATCATTTAGGACAATGGTTCTCAGACTTCTGGGGTCACATCAGAGGCGCAACAACCAGGTTCTTCACCCTGGGCAGCAACTGTGGCCAGCAGTAACAGAAACTTGTTTTTGCATCCCCTTTGAGTAGGTGCCCAAGGCTGGTGCCTGACTCACCCATTCCTTGTTATGCTACTGGGCCACATGTCCCTTTTTAAGTTTGATAATACTGCCTGCCATTCTGGTTTAATGTTCCAGATAATGATGAAAGTAACAGTTTTTGTCATTATAACCACACTTCAGTGCCTCCAACAACCTAACATTGATCTCATTTACGTTTTCTTTCTTTTCCTCCATTTTGATTTCTCCTTTCCCTTTTTCTGCTTTCCCACACCTTCCTTTCACATGCCCTCTAGAAGCTCACCACAAACTTCCAAAATCAAATTAGCCATCGTAGGTACTCTGGTTGCATTTTGAAACATTAAAAGTACACTGCTCAAACATGGTTGCCTAATGAAATGCCTGATTTTCAAAGGGCTGAAAATCCACTGCTGCTATTCAGCTAAAGCCAGTAGGAACACTGGGTGCTTAGCACCTTTGAAACTCAAGCCACTTATTTACTGTTGGTATCTAACTTTAGGAACTCAAGTGGGAAAGTTTAGACCAAAAGGTTCTGCACACATCACTTTTTAAGCCTGTAGGTCAATTGCTCAACTGGTATAGATTGTCTATACAGCTCTTCAATTGAGAACCCTGCTCACCTCTGCCTTTTCCCCTCTAGTTTCCAGTTCCTCAAAGCATGTTAATCATCTGACTTTCAGGATGTAGGATCAGATTCTCAGCTGTTATAATTTGAAGTATCTTTATCAAAACTGATGGGGGCTATATCATTTTGTGTCAACTAAGGGTTGGTTCCTTTAAAAAGAAACTCAGAACTGCAGAGAGACAAAGGAAAAAGCAAAAAGATTATTCTTTTCACAACCACAAGCTAGTGTGGCATGCCATTCAAAAATGCCTATCCAAATAGTAACTGGAACTAAGCCCACAAGCCAATTGATGCATAACAGCCCATCATTTGTTACTAATTCCAGTATGGATTTTAACATTTCATACTTACACAAATTGCTTGGAAATGCCAAATAATCATCCAACCACTGCCAGAACTGTTCATAAGTATTTGTGATACATTGCTTCTTCCTGATTGTGTGTGTTTGCATTCCTGTTTTTGGTAACTTTCAATTGTGTAATAGCGCTTTAAATGGTTGGGGATCTGTTTAGATTTAAAGGACACACGTCTAACATTCTTAGTAATGTGAGATAGTAACTGCTTACTTTCAAGCAGTTCCACTGAGATCTAGTCTATTCCCCATGGTAAGATACAGCTCACCATGACTAAGGGTAGCTTTACTGGACTGAAAGTTCTTACAGCTATATTGATTTTAAGAATAGCATAACAGACACAGTCACCTATATTCAAGTGAAGTTGTAGTCCTATTTTTGAAGACACCAGGAATCCTTTCAGCAACATGAATACAAAAAAATGATTATTTATCCTTATTTTATGAGGGGTTTTTAAATATGATTCCTGGTAACAACATGAATTGGTTTTACTGTCTATAAAAAAAGAATATCAGAACTGTGTAGCCAGTAAAAATTATTGTTGTGTATTCTAGATATATGCTGCATATGTGACTATTGTAGCAGGTTTTCACTTCTATTCTGAAATAGAAATTACAATATGAGTTAACAAGTCAAAATTACAGTATTTTATTGTATAACTTGCGCCTTCTTCCCCAAACGAGCTGGTGAAAATGGGTTGGTGCATTATATGCAGGAAAAAATAGATCCCCACAGGTCCAGAAACTTGGTCGGGAAGCAGTGGCAGCATTAATTGTCATGGCTCTGGGAGCCACAGCCATTAATGTAGCCACCACTTCCCTGACACCAAACTTCTGGACCCATTGGTTGTGTCCCACCGAGCATGCACATGCAGGTGTGCGCATTTCCCGTCGGACAAATAGCAGTGGGTATTTGTGCCACTGCTATCTGTTCCAGGGCGTGCCCCTGCATGTGCACTCTGGTGTACAGTGAAGGGACCCAGGTAGGGTAGGGGAAGCTGGGGCCGCAAAAGCCTTCCCTAGAGTCCTAGGAGCCTCCCAGGGCAGCAACGGTGCCAAGCCAGCCACTCCAAGCCTGACCAGCAGCCAGAGCATAGCTCTGTCTGACCAGGCTCCAGTTTCTGGCAGTGCATGCTGCTGCCACATGCACTGTACCACTTTTTTTAGTGGTAGGGGTTTTTTGATACCAGGATCTTCTGGTGTCAAAAAAGCCACTGCACTGCTAATTAGCAGCACAGCCCATGTGTGCATGTGCACCGCATGTCATTTGTGGCACCTCAAAGCCATTTGCACACTTGTGTGGATGTGCCCATGGGGAACCCTTCAACTGATTACATGTCCCTGGATGCTGGATCAGGCTAATGCACAGGGTTGGTTCACAGCTGGACCTGGTGCACTGGATTAGACCCATTTCACTGCCCTGGACACAGTGCACACTCTCAGACCCAGCGTGGGGTCAGGCACAACTTATGGCCTGAGATCCAGCACACAAGGTTGGATGCACTGTGCAGGGTTAGACCTGGTGGGTGGCCACAGGGCTGGCATGCCAGGTGGGAACCAGCATCCAAACCCAGACCTGGCACATGGCCCTGGACACAGCGCACAGGGTCAGTCCACAGGCCCATTGGGTGTGTGGAACTGGCAGCAGACTCAGGAGCAAAATTAGCTCCCTAGCCTCTGCTACTCAATCTGCTACTCAATTTTTTTTCCAGCTGCTTTCTGAAAATGGGTGTGTGTTATATAGGTGGGTATGCTGCGTGTGAGAGAAAATACAAACTTTACTTTATGCAAGTTCCCCCTTTAAGGTCAACAGGATAGTTGTATAAGTGAGACATGGGCCATGACCCTACTCCCCCACAAATATATTGTTTTCAATGTGTGGGAGTAGGAGAAAACATATACCTCAAGAGATTCGTGTCTTCATTTATTTTTATTGTCTGCTCTTGGGTAAATTAAAAAAAAATATGTATAGAGAAAAATATCCCAGGTGTGCTTGGAGAGTGGAGAATAGAGGGACACTGTCCAGTGCCTGTTGGCTTATGTCCATGTCAGTCTTCTGAGCCACCTGCAAAAGTCAGATAGCTTCAAGGACACTTTGAGAACAGACTGTTATGGTTATAAATTTCTTTGTAGGGGGTCCCCATAGGCCTCAGTCAGGAGTGAGCCCATTTGAGCCTTGTAGGTGAATGCAGTGAAACCCTGGGCCAGCTAAAATCAATAGCAAACCTTTCATTGACTTCAGTACAGCCAGGATTTCATGTGTGATCCCTACCAAAAGACTTTAATACCGCTCATCTTTCCTCCCTTATGTTTCCCCTCAGTCTTCAAACTTTCTGGAAAGAAAGAGATCAAGTAAAAAATCAGATATGATTTCAGCTTTCCAAAATGAGCTTTTCATTTTTCTCCATGGAAACATTCTCTTCTCTTGCAGACTGGGTCTGAATTATCCCCACAAGGACAAATGAGCAGAGCTCCAGCAACCAGTGAAAGAGTTGATGAGCCGGCTCGTCATGTCTTCTCTTTCCCCTGGTTAAACTCATTGAAGGAATGAGGACTCTCATTCCAGTGTACTTTTCTGAGAGGAACTGAGGCAACAAGCAACCTGGCTGGAATCGACAAGATATTGTCAGGAAAAGGAACAAGTGATCGGGTTTCATTCAAAGGGACTTATTGCACCAAATGAGATTCAGCCAAACTGTTTGACATTTTGAGGTTAAGGGGTATTGTTGAGAATTAAGCTGAATAAAGGGATGGGAAAAATTGGACTCAGTGGTTAATTAATCCTGTAATAAATTGGATATGTGTGCAAGTCCATTTCAAAGGAGAAGTGTTGAGCAGAACCATGTTACTGTTGCAGATGTAAAGGAGCACTGTTAAACTTTATCATTTATTTATTAACTTTCCTGTGCGTCTGTAGGCAGTTTTAAGTGCTTTGCCATTACTGTTAGTTAAAATAGCATTGTTTCCTTTACTGACAGCATAAAGGATAACCCTTCCTACTCTCATTTCCTCCTGTCCAAATCAGCTTTTCAACTTACCTCTTGTTGCAAATCATTAACAAAAGCCACACAATTCTTAGGACTGAAACTCCACTTCTCTTGCTCCACTGTGGTCAGTGAGTGTGGTACAAAGTAATGCTTTCTGACCAGCAACAGTTCAACCCAACTGGCCCTTCGATTCTTGCATTTTCGAAGGTTAATTAATAGGTCACACAATGCAGAACTTTCTAATCTTTCAGGAGTTGGTTATTTTCTATGAAATGCAGAATCTGAATCTTCCTAAGCTTGAAGACTTTGGTATAGAAAAACCTGTCTATACCCAAAGCTGAATACCCTGCATTTTCCATTAATACCTCAAGTCAGCCTTCACTCTTCTTAACTCTATGAATTTAACAAAAAAGGGGCAACTCCTTTCACGAAGCCAGTAAAGCCTCTTCTGAACTGAACTGAACAACGATGGGATTATTGCAAATATGTGTTAAAGATTGCAGCTATGAAAAAAGGACTATGAAAAAAGCTAATATAATACTGAATGAATTGTAGGTGGAGATTGTAACTACATAACTGTTTAATGAAACTTACTTCATAATGTAGTTTGTTTTATTATCATGGCCAGCAGAGTGGTGTTACAGTGGAAGGTGACATCCTAGGAGCTTTGCCACTGATGTCAGTCAGGACAGGATTTCCCCCTAACACTATACGCACTCTGAGAGCATTGACTGCAGACTTGAATACTTACATGAATACTTCTCAATAGGGGCTGAGCCTCGTCAGGTCTGAATGAGTCCAATGGTCCTTAAGATGGATGAAAATGCTCAGCCTTTCCACCGGGGTTTGGATCAGGCCCTAAACTTGTAACATTTCATAATGCCCTGGACTCACCTTGAGAACACCGCACAGGATGTGAATTGTTCTGCTAGGCACAGGTGTACCTCTCAGGAGATGGGAAGCTACTGATCATTACAAAACAGTTGGTGCAGTGGGCTGGGCCCCAGGAGGGGACCCGGTCACTCTGGAATACAAACCCCAGCTTGCTACCCACCGCCTATGCAATGGGCTCAGTTTTATTCCCCCTTTCTGGTTTCTGTGACTTTGGGGAGGGCCTTGGAGGGGCAGTGAGTTGATGGTAGTAGGGAGCCTTCAAACAAGGAAACAGAGCAAGAATGACTCACTCTCTACAGTGGCTAGAAGCAGAATTCAGCTCAGCTGCCTCTTTTGCCCCTTCTCCCTTCCCACCCAGCCTGCCTGTGGGTCTGGATAAGGAGCTCCTATGGGATATTTCCAGCCCTGATTCAGCATCTTTGCCCTTGCTAGTGGCACCAACTCCTTCTCTGGGAGCCTTTCTTGGTTGAACTCCTGCACTCCTTAGACATGGCTGATTTCAGAGAGACCCTGGCCAGTCTGCCCAGCCCAGCACCTTGGTGGATCCCCAGCCCACAGCAGGTTGAATCCATTCCACAGGGAGCCTCCCAGGCACCTCTTGGATAAAAGCCCAGGGACCGTCCCATGAGCACAGATGTATGTCCCAAACCCAGCTGTCCCCCCCACCCCACCCCATGCTAGTCACTGCTCTGCCCCATCTCGCCCCTTTTCCATTGCCCAGCGTTTCACTTCAACTGGTAGTTCTCATTTACAAGGCTGGCAGCCTAGGGGCCCAAGAGACTCCAGACCCTGCACCCTCTCTTCAGAGCCACATTGTGCTACGCCCATGGGGCTAGTACCTACCCCTGGTGCAGGATAAGCTCTAGCACGAGTCCTCGCTGGATTCACCCAAGTGTGGCATCTGCTCTGCTGGCACTGGGCCCCTTGTGTGCCCCCACTCAGTACTGTGGGGGGCAGAGTTGGGCCTGGCGTGTACCCAGCTCCTTGCAGCTTGCTGCCCTGTGCCCCAGTGGGGCGATCCACGTCCTTGGGGCCGTCAGGGCACTGCCCCCTGGGCACACACGGGGTGGGGTGAGGGGTCCTTCCTTCTCGGGCCCGTTTGGGGCAGAACAGCAGGGCTGGACCCCGGCTGCATCGGGGCTCAGCTGGAGGCAGAGGCAGTGCCGGGAAGCTCCTTGGGCCGTGCCCGGGGGGTGGGCTGCGGCAGTAGGGGAGTGTCTGTAAAGTAAGCCCGGGGGGCTGCAGGGCAAGGGGGGCCAGAGCCGGCTCCGACCCCAGCCCTGGCCCCGGCCCCAGCGGCTGCGCTGCACCGATGCCCTGCGCGGAGCTGCCCCCCGCCCCCCGGCTGCCCGCGGAGGAGGAGGAAGGCCAGGCAGGCGGAGCCACTTTG